TTAGCATAGGTGAGATATATCTCGATAGTGTGAGAATATATGTTAATTATTCTATGTAATTTGATCGCCTCTTAAAGTTTTATATTTCAAGCCAAACCACTTTTAAGGGAAAGCATATATTATTATATTATTCTAGGGCTTTTGTTAAATTGGGAGTAAAATTTTATTCGCGATTTCGGACTTTGCTCCACATCCAGCTTGACAAATAAAAAACGAGTTCTTAATTTTATTTAGCATATACAAAACAAAGTTTTTTTTTATCTATTTTTGAGCTCTGGTTGGCTGTGTTTATATTTGACTCGTCGAGTACTTGGCTGATTTAAAAGCCCATGCCCAGTTCTTTTGGCCAGCAACTGATCCAGTTAATATTAAAGTTAATTTACACCTGGAGCATTATTCATATGCAGCTACACCTCCCTTCCTCCTCCACACGCCCTCTGCATATTTTTTATGAGCACAATTCCATTGGCAACGCCCACCGCTGAACGACAACGAACGACGTGGTCCAGTTTAAGTCAGAGCCCACACCTTCTAGCCAAGTCTGGGGCAGCGGCAGTTACCATCGCAGTTGGAGTTAGTGGCCACAACACATAAACAACAACAGCAACTCCACACGTGCCACATGTGCTGTCAAGTGCGCAGCAGAACAAGCAGCGAGCACGTCTTCGTCTCCCATTGTTGCCAGTTGCCAGTTGCCAGTTCTTGGTATTTTGTTGCTGTTGCTGCTGCTGCTTGCGCGCAACAATTTGCTGCATCCACATTTACAGCTTAAGATAAAGTCAGCGATGGAGTGGAAGCTGGAGCTGGAGCCGGAGCTGAGGCTGAGGCTGAGGCAACCTTCAATGAGTGATGGCGACCTCAATGCCAGCCCCACGTTTTCTGAGGCTATGGCTGCTTTTTTTTCGGCTTCTCGGTCTTGGTCAAAGTTGGCTTGCTTGGAAAACCGCTTGGCAGCCTTGCAGAGCTCTTGTTGTTGTTGCTGGCATTGTACGTGCGGGTTTCCAAGTGGAAATCGTTGCGGTTGTAAATTTTGCAATCAAATAATTTTTCATTCGCTTTTTCCGACGCCAGCGCGCGACCTGATTTTTCTTTTCATTTTGGCCGCAGCAGCAGCAGCAGCAGCCGCTGCCACAGAGATGAATAAAAAAAAGTGTTTGCCTGTTTTGGGTCTCCTCTGTTGGCCATTTGGTGTTTTAGCTGGCTGGAAAAACGTTTTGACCTTTGCCGCTGTGTTCGTGTTCGAACATTTAAACGGAAGTTGATTGCCGCCAAAGGTTAAACTCAATTTCCGTTAAAGCCCCAGCCTCAGTGCCAGTCTAAGACGCAGCCGCACTGTGGACCACGTCTTGTCTTTGGACCTTATTTTGAAGCCGAGTTAAGAACTCAATTTCTTAGCATTTTGCAGCAGCTGTTCGAGGGGTTCTCGTTGACGGCTTGTTGCGGTTATTGTTGTTGTTCCTGCTTAAAGTAGTTGTTCGAGTTGAAGAGTTCAATTCACAAAGTTCACGAGAAGTTCTCTAAGCGAGAAATAAGAGAAAGAAAGTCAGAAAGTATTACATCTGAACAGTAAGCTTTCTTCTTTAACTTTTATATATATAAACACATATATGTATATATGTATACATAATGTCAATTCAATCACAACTCATTTATAATTACTTAACGGCTTTTCAAGTGCGCCCACCAACTGACCGAGTTATTCAAAATAAAAAGCTTTCAGCTCAGGGTCATAAAATCATTCGCTTGTCAAAAATTTGCACTAATTCATTCAAAATAACTGTTAATATCGCCCAACTCATGCGCACACACACACACACTAACAGTTAGAGTAATTATAATGCCCACAGCAATCGTCCGAACCCCAAATGTTTAACTCTCTGGCCATAATCTGAAAATCCCATTTACAAGCTCAAATTACAATAGAGGCGCATTGTTTGCTTTCGTTGTTGTTGTTGTTGTTGTTGTTTCTGTGTGGCGCACCCACGCAATTTATGTCTGTGTGTGTGTCTGTGTGCGTAGGTGTTGGTGCTGGGGCCATTCAAATGCAAAAAGAGCAGCGAACAACCGTTACAATGTGCCTCATTAAAACAAAAATAAAATAAACCAAAATGTTGAGTAGCCACAGCAACAACAATAAAACATTAGCAATAAAACAAAAAATGTGTAAAAAGTGACGCTCAAGCAAACAATAAAGAATCAGTATATCTATAAAATATTTCACGCCTCTCTTGGGCGCATCGCAAACGTCACTCAAATAAAACCAAAACCCTGACACATTATGAAAAATTCATTAAATCGAAATTGTAAGACAGCGAGGGAATGAGAACAAGCCAGAGTAGATAGAAAAATAAATAGAGAGAGAGCGAGTAATATATATAACATATCTCTACAGACAGATAGATTGTTCGATATGACATGATGACATAGATGTTCAGATAGATAGGCAGATTGATATATAGGTAGGTATACATGTCTATCTATCAGAGATGGATATTTATAGAAACAGATAAAGGTAGATGAGGCCCACAGACGTATAGATTGCTGAATATATTGTATTGTAAAATTAGGTGGATAAAAGTATCTATAGTAAGAAATGATAGACAGATCAATATATCTATAGCAAGAGATACATACAGATAGATAGATAAATATATAAATACTATTTATCAAGATATTCATCTCTCTTTATATACATAAATATTTTTATATATTTACATAATGATAGATAGTTATTCCTAGATACGATTATGGGTAAATGAAAAAGGCATTTAAATACCAAAACTAAAATAGGTAAAAAAAATTCCTTGATATGATAATAAAAAAATATAAAAAATTTAATGAAATATTTAAAAATTAATTCAAATAACAAAACTGCTTAAAATTTTAATAATTTAGATGTTCATTAGCAATATTAAATTTGGCATATTTTTAGGTAACTCCCCATAGTATTTTGTTTCCCTCATTCAATTTATAATAAACCCAATTCTGAGTTGCCTTAATATAGCTAAACATCATTAAAATCTGATTAACTTCTAACATTATTTGTATCTCACCTACATGATTTGCATAACAATCAATTCGTTATTTTCTGTCTGTCAGGTGGAATTAATCCAATTCCAATTCAAACCCAGATATTGGCAGCCATTTTTCTTCGTTTTTTCTCTTTTATTTTGTGTAAGTGCACGCAAAGTTGCGCTTGAGCTTGAGCTTTGGTCGAAGCTTCGTGGCAGCTTCGTCTCGGCTCTGCCGAACACGGAAGTATGTCAGCAGGTCTCTCGTGTAACGGTAGTTTGGCTGCTGCTGCCGCCGCTGCCGCTGTCGCTGGCACGCTTAGCTGCGCATGCTTAGCTGACGCTGACGTCGCTGCCGCCGTTGCTGGCTTCTTCTGTTGCTCTTTGTTGGCGCTTTTCAGGCTGAGCTAGCAACATGTTGCTACAACAACCTGTTGAAAGCGAAATTGTCTGTGCGCGCGCTCTCTCTCTCTCTCTCTCTCTCTCTTTCCTTCTCTCTATCTGGCGTGCTCACGCTGACCAATACCAAACAAGTCTAGCTTCGAGCGGGTAAGTATATTGGCCAATTTGGCTCTGTATGCTTTCTTCTTTCACACACAGACACACACACACATAAATGAATGTGGCCAAGCCTCAAAAACTCAACTTAACTGTTTATGCACAAAATGAGAAAAAGTCTTTTATTTTTGTTGGCTCATTTGCTTTACCGTTCGTTCGGTTCTCCCAAAACCGAACTTCTTCACTCGCACCTCGCAATTGTTGTTGTTGTTGTTAGACTCTCGCAGTATTTCGGATACTTTTTATTCGATTGGCTCTTTGTATTGGTCTTGAATATTTTGTAGTGGCTTCTTTAGATTTTTTGGATATGGAGAGGGGGAGGAGAGACTCGTATACTCTGCACCTGTGTCGCATGATAGTTGTTGTTGTTGTACTTTCATTGTCGGTCTCTCATATCTTGGTCTGACTGTAGAGTCTATCCAAATACGATATGCCCGGCTCCCCTCGCTCCCCCTACGTCACAGTGCAGAGCTCAATATTCTGCTGCGTTTATTTCTACCAATTTATATGCTAATTTAACTGATTATTAATGTTGTGACCCAAATTCCATTTGGAAATTATTATTGGCCATTCTGGGTATCGATTTGTTGTTATTGTTGCTGTTGTTGTTTTCCCCACTCTTCTCTATTTTTGGCCCGTCCGTCCGCTTCGTTATCTTGTCCCGAATGTCTCAAGTCTGACTGCATTTGGCGGCGTCTTCCCGTGAGTAATCGTCACGTTAAATATGAAAAGCCCCGTGGAAATATTTTGATATGCAGCTCTGGCAGACCCTAATGGACTTCGATTAATATTCGTTATACTTCGAATACCTATCGAGATTTGGTATTAAGCTCAGATTAGGGCTTGTTTGCCTGGCTTGGCGCTGCAAGCTGTCAGCAAGTGACGGAGCTGCCGCTTCTTGAGGCACCTGCAGATCCCAAAGATTCTCTAACGGAAATTGCTTGTAAACTAAGCTTAGTTGAAACCCAGTTAATGTGCCTTTGGCCCCCACATTGATGAATATATAAGAGTTGACTGTAAAATGTTTGGGGAAACAGTTACTCAACATATTTTTAGGCATAAGATGAACTGAAAGTAACTGAATCGTTTTGTTTAACTAATCACGGTTAACTCTTAGAGCTCAAACTTCTAGCTAATACTTTGCTTTGCATTTGGAACTAAAGATTCGAAATACTAATTTTGATCTAAAGTAATTTTGATTTAAATTATTCTTACTGTAGTAATTATATCTGATATTATTTATTTAGAGTTTGTAGAACAGAGTAACTAAAAGTAATTGATTATATAGTATATTTGGCTTTAATCGCAACTACTAATGTGGATCTTTGTGATCTTTGTTCATATATTTACAGCATCAACTGAGAAAACATTCAATATTTTGAGCGAGAAGAAAAACCAAAAATTTCTGTCCATCGCCTGGGTCAACTGACAATGAAGTTGTGCAGCATGAACGGGCCAAGTGAATCAGAAGTCGAAAGCCTACTGATGAGCCCCTGCTGGGGACCAACACAGACAAGCAGCCAGGATCAATATCTGCTGGACGGACACAAGCTGCTGCTGGAGCATGAGCTCGATTCGCTGCCGAGCGATGCTGATCAGAAGAACTCGCTGGATGTGCTGGATAATCTGCTGTTGAACAGCTCCTCGCTGAATGCCTTGTCCGATCTGAAGCCGTTGCCTCCATTCACTGGCTACACCGGGCATCTGTCTATCAATGGCATCTCGGGGCATCACTATCACGCGATTGCCCAGCGGTTGCCCGATGAGAGCAATAACAACTACATACAGAGCGCCTACCAGCAACACCATCAACATCAACATCAGCAACAGCAACAGCAGCAGCACCAGCACCAACAGTCGAACAACAACAATTCGAATGCGAATCCCACGTCAACAACAGCCGCGACGACGACATGCAGTGGGACAGGCGGGGTCGGCGGCGGCGGTGGGGGCGGCAGTGGTGGCTCCTCGCAAGAGCACAATATCGTATCCTCGTCCACCTGCCTGCCCGAAAGCGTTCTCAGCGCGGATGCTGACGCCTGCCTCAACGATGTCAAGCTCTTTGCCGATAGTCAGTTAGATTCTAAGCTCTACTCCGTAGCGGACAGCTGTGTTATAAACGCCTCCAATCAGGGTGGCAATGGTGGTGGTGGTGGTGTCTCCTCGCTGGCCAGCAGTGGGTCTACGCTGACGCCGATCGACCAGGTTGCCGACTCGCTGCACGGCAGCGGAGTGCGCATCTACAAGGATCTGACCGAGTACGTGGACATGAATAGCATCGATGACATTGCCGCGATCATTGGCTCGGCGATAGCGGACACCACGGTGCCCAATCAGCTGGACAAGGAGGAGGGCAATGATACGCGCGACAGCTGGATGGATCTGGATGCCTGGATCGATGGCAACTGCATTCAGCCCGAGGGCAAAGTGCTCGTCTCTCAGCAGGATACGCTTAGCGACTTCATGCTGCCCCACTCACCGCTGCCGGTGCACGCGAGCAGCTCAACGCTGCAGAGTCTTCTCAGCCATGGCTACATGCCGTTGCTGCAGAATCGCCTGCAGCATGGACCACCTGGGGCGGGCAATGCGCCCGGCAACGGTTCGTCGGCAACAAACACGCTGAAGAGCGAGACGCCCAGTTCTACCTCATATTGCAACGAGCTGTCGGCAGCCAGCAGCAGCTGCAGTCCGCCGGGCTCGGTGGTCAGCACCACGGACAACAATCTGATGATCAATCCGCGCTATCTGACCAACAATCCCAATCCCAACCAGCAACAGCAGCAGCAGCAACAGCAGCAGCAAGCAGCCTACCAGCTAACGCCCAATGGCCTCTCCGGCACTGGACTGAAGGACGGCGGTCTGTGCAGTCCGGACATGTTAAGCAATTATCCGCATACGACAAGCACCACAAATGTGCCCACGGGCACGCCTAAGGCCAAGCGCTCTAGGGCACAGAAGAAGTCCAGCCAGCAGCAGCAACAGCAGCAGATCCAGGGTGACAATGGGGCGTCGCAGCTGAACGCTATGTCGCCATCGGGCGTGGCCAGCTTCAGTGCCAGCGATCTGAGTGGACTGCTAGGCAAGGAGAAGCCGGTGCATCGTTGCAGCATCTGCAATCGCGGCTTCTTGAACAAGTCAAACATCAAGGTGCATCTGCGCACGCACACGGGCGAGAAGCCCTTCCGCTGCGACGTGTGCGCCAAGGCCTTTCGCCAGAAGGCGCACTTGCTCAAACATCAACAGATACATAAGAGAATTGGGCGTGACTGACCGCGGCGGGCACAATCGCAACCCGCTCGCCACTAGCAACAGCCACTATAAGCAGCAACTGTTTCTGCGTTCACAATTGAGCACCCAGTCGCTTCCGTGTGCTCTGCTTAAGAGAAAGTGCCCGCCAAAGCCACCCGCCCACCACACACCACGAGCCGAATTGACAACTGGATGTGTGCATGGATGGGTCTTTGGGTGCGGCAGCTTCTCGTGTATCGCATTGCTTGACCAAAGCCAGTGTGGATCGCCTCACGGTATTCACAGACCGTTTGCCAGCCATCCTCCTCCTACCCCACTCACTACTTGCAGCAGGGTGAAGCAATGCCATACACATAGCACTTGATATTCGTTGTTGTTGGTTGCTTTTGATCTCTTCGCCTCTTTTGGTAGTTAGTCCAATTAATCCGGTTATAGGTAGTATACGTTCTAGGTAAAATATAACTATATAAATAGAAACGTCCTCGAGGCGCGACAAGTCCATAAAGTTTCCATAGAAATTAAATTACAATAATTTCATTTTATTATTTTTTGTTTGTTTCATGGGATTTAATATCAACCTACTACCTCCGCCATGTTATTAGCATACTCTGAAAATCATAATGAAATTTTAGAAATCTGATTAAATTGAAAACACTCTAAATATTTTGAAACACTCAAATATAGTGAAACCGAGTCTGTATCATCAGAGTGCTGGAATGTCAGGTTTTCGGAATGGCCCTATCTAGTTGTACAGTCAAATCTCTTTTCAGGCACTGAAACTTTAAGAAAGTACTAAATGCAGTTAATAGTAACAAATATTTGTTATGACTTACTAACTAAAAAAGTTCTTATAGCGAATACCAAGCGCAGAGCTATTAACGAAAGTCTTAACAAACTGTGATTGAGCAGAAAAGTTTGAGTTGAGTCTGAAAAGTATTTCTGATGTATCAGGCATTATTTGAAAATCTATAGCTTCACATTTTCCACACATATATAGTCAGTACAGAAAATGATATGCCCCAGGCAAAGAGACCACAAGCAATGTAAGAACAACGAAGCGTCCAATTGTCTTTTTGCAACTGTTGTTCTGTTTTGATGCAAACCTGCGCGCTTCGAGCACCTAAGGCCCTGGCACAGGTATACAATTATATAATAGTAATGATTAGGGTTACGAATGTAGCTAGAATTTAGTTAAACTCTAGCCGAATGTATAATAAGTAATTGCATAAATAAGATGATTTGTATGTACCTCAACGAGCTGAAAGAAACAAAAAGAAAAGATAAACAATAGAAGCAATACAATTTTAAATTACAGTAACTACAACATTAAGTAAATGTACAAATAAAAAAAATAATTATATATAACTATATATATTTATATTTATATTTCATATTTATATTTATATATATTTATCATAAGTTGTAGCGGGCTTGGCAAAATAACAATAAATGTTAATATAAATTAATAATTAGAAAAGAAAGAAAAAATTAAGCAAACAAAACGCATATTAAACATAATTATGAAATAGTAAAGTACTCAAGTAATAAATCTTATTACATCTACATTTTAATGTTGTTAATTTGTTTTTTAAATAATTTGTTGTTGAACGTTACAATTAAATCGCAAATCAAAACATGTGTCCAATAAATCATATTCTAAATATATTTATTCTGTTGTGCGCAAATCTTGAACATATGTATGCTTGCAAGACCTTAGCACATATTATGAATAAAATATTGTTGAAGCTATTTGTTTAAGTAAAAAAAAAAAACAGAAAAAAAACAAACATAAAAAAATAAACAAAATATAACTTAATAAAAGTAATTATTTATAACTTAATCAATATTTAATGTTACTTTAGTTTTGTGCAATTTATTTATTCAAGTTGAAATTCCGTTTGTACGTCTAAACACTATTCGATTGTAAATATTTATTTTGTCTAATGTTTAATGTTTATCATACTAGAAATACAAAATTTTGTCATTTTAAATGTACAAAAATAATATAATATTTAAAAACTGAAACGATTCGTTTATTCCACATGAAGTATACGCAGCGTGGAGCTGCATATGGGTAAGAGCACATAACTGCAACTTAAGACAGTCTCGTTCGAGTAGTTTTTCTTGGTGTCCGCATTGCTTATGCCGCACGCATCATGGAGGAACCTGACATGGCAGCCAGAGTGTGCCAGCTAAGTAAGCAAGCAGCAGAGTAGGTGCGAGCAGCTATGGTAAAATATGCAGTGGAAGACATCGACAAAAAGAGTAAAGCGAGGCAAAGCAAAGCAAACCAAACCAAACCAAGTCAATCCCAGTCGAGTCAGAATCATTATATTGACCACAAATGCCGCCGCCACGAAAGCAATGCAAAGAGTAAAGAGCCAAAGGCAAAGCCCACACAGATACTCACACACACACACACAGATACATATATACAGATAGAGCGCGGCACCAATACAGCAACAAAATGCCATGCATACTGTGCCACTGACCCAATTTCCAGACTCGTTTTTTTCCATCGAGAGAACCGCACGAAGCAACAGCAACAGCAGCGGCAGCGACTGTGGCAGCCACAACGGATTTCAAATGTTAACTGGGAGCGCGGCAATACGATACAAAGAAACTTTGCCCGGTCGCATGCTCTTTCACCGCAGAGACGCAGACCCAGACACAGAAATAGCTCAAGCTTCAGCTTCAGCTCCAGCTCCAGCTATACGAGTCTGGAGCTTGTTTGCATCGCATCGCATCGCATCGCATCGCATCCGCATTTCTATGCTGTCTTTGTATATTTGGCTCGGCTCGGCTTGGCTTGGCTTTGCTTCGTTTGGGTTTTGCTGCTACATGTATCTGTAACTCGTTTCTGTATCTTGCGCCTCGTATCTGTGGCACTTAAATTTATGCAACATCATGGCAATGCCGCTGACTCCTCAGAGCCCCCTCTTTTGTATAGTGTCCACGTTTTGTTCTAATCAAAATGTGCTACGTGCTCGTCTCTGCACCCGTGTCAAAGGTCAAAGTTAAATATTAACAACTCGCCAACATCGAATCCAAATCCAAAAGTCCAGAACCCATTTCAAATAACAAATTAGCAATCGCATCTGCCGCAATTCGTCGAGCTGAGCAGCATCTGTGGTTTTGGCTTCTCTTTCGCTTCGTTCATTTCTCTTTATTTTTGGCATTTTTAATTGAGTTTTTTGTATTCCAATTAAACGTAATTTTCTACCCATTCGCTTTGGGTTAGTGCCCATCTTAGTCGCTGGCTGAGCACGACCCACTTTCTGGCCAAGATTTTGACTGGCAATCCCACAGATCAGCCAAGTCATTTGCGACAGTTATGGCCCCAGTAATGAACGTGGGTGCTATTACTGAGCTAGGCGTCAGCTAGCCAAAAAAGCTATGAATAGTTGGACAAACTATGACTCAAATAAGATCGCCTTGCGAGACAGCAGAAGCTTGGATAAAGCACAGACATGCCACAAAACTATGAAAGCGAGCTCTGGTTAAGAGTTTCAAAATATGAATTAAGATGTATCTATACTATAATAATCTATAATATAATAATAAATGCTCTCTATGAAGTATACGAATTTTATAATTATTTGACATTTCTTGAGGAATTCCACTTATACAGATCATTTTCTCTACCTCTACAAAACTATTCCTAATACACCTAATTGGAATAAATTTAATGTAGAATTGTATTTACTCACAATAGCTTCAACAACAACTGAAACAAGTTGCTAGCAAGGAATTAATAAATAACTTGTCAAAGTTTGTATATTAGACACGATGATTAGTGCAGAAAATTTTAAGCAAAGCTTTGGCGACTTGGGAATACCCTCTAATGTAAGACATATATAACCATAAGCACTATTTCAGTACTTATAACTGAACATTTAGTCAAACCAGTTTGCTTCAAGCACATTGACAAGCTGACAAACTGTACATATATTTTCAGAATGATTTCCAGAAGCTGTATTTTCAACAGTAAAATCGAGATCGAAAAATGTATAACACATAGAGACAGATGTAGATATACACATATAGAATATGGCATTACAATCTAAATATCTATGTCTATTAAATCAATCCAGCACAGTTAGAGAAATATTAATTAACTAATGAACTAAGGATACATATTCCAATTCTACCTTATATCAAGCATTGTAAGAGTTACAGGGCATCAGCGACAAAGCCAAAGACAGCCAACGCCTTTCGCCTGCTGCTGTTGTTGCTGTCTCAAGTTGACAAAAAATAGAGACAGCGAAACAGTCGGACGAATGGACAGATAAACATTACAATAAAGTTAACAAAATGGCAACGGCGACGCCCGAATCGCTGTCGCTGTCACAGTCGCCGTCGCAGTCGCAGTTAACTTTGTCGCATATTGTCCAGCAGTTGTAACTGTTGCTGATGTTGCTGTTGCTATTGTTGCTGCTGCTGCTGTGGCGCAGTTAAAGACACAATGACCTTGGGTGAAAGTTGCTCTCCATTTCTATTTTGTGCTTTGCTGTTGCTATTGCTGTCGCTGCCGCTGAAATTGTTGCTGTTGTTGCTATTTACTATTTGCTGGCATGCCATTTTATACACACGTCTCTTGGTGTGTGTGTGAGTGTTTATATTTATTGTTATATTTATTCTTGTCACCGTTGTTTGTGTCTCTATCTGTGCGTATATTTGCTTTGAATGCTTTTGCTGCTCCCCTTTAGTTTTGTCTTTTTACACTCAACATGATTTGTTTGTTTGTTTTGTTGTATTTTTATTTATCACTGTTGTCTTTGTTGTTGTTTTTATTACTTTTGCTCTTGATTGAGGTGCCTTTGATGGATGCACATGAAAAGTTCGACAACGAGCTGGCGCTGAAACAGAAACAGAACGGAAGTGGCTCGCGTGCAGGAAATTGAAACGAGGCAGAAGGCAGAGGCGAAGGCGAAGGCGGACTAGGTGAGAAAAGGCCAAAATAAAATTAAGCAATTGCTTACAGCGATCCAAGTTTTTGGCCAACACACTGCATAAACTAAATATTTATAATTTATGCGCTCGGCTTTTGCATTGAATTGTCGAAGCACAAGGGAACCGAAAGAATTATAAACTTCAAGTTTGGCGTCGATTTTGCAATGCGCAGCGGCGTCTTCACGCCTCGTCGGCCAGCTGACCAAGATTCTAAACAGAATAAATCATGGCTATAATTACGTTATATTATATTAATATTTAAGCACTGTGCCAGATTTTGGCTTCTTGTTTTTGCTCCAACTCCAACGCCAACTTCGACTCAAAACTTTAATTAACTGCAAAAGCAAACAGTGCACAACGAAAATCTTACGAAATACCCAATTACACTTCATTTTTGTGCTCTAGCACATTATATCAATTATATTCGCCTAAAACAAACATTAAATTAAGTTAAATTTATATTTCCAAAATAAATATGAGCTTATAAAAAATTGATTGATATTGATATTAATTTTCTGTTCTGTTCAGTCCTGACTAAACTTTTTTCAAATCAATAAAATCTGTTATAAGAATAAATTTATATATATTTTATTTGCATAATTATAAATAAATAAATATAACAATAATAATAAAAAAATATATATATTAAGATCTTTAACAAATATCTGTATTATAAAAAATCATCCTATCAATAATCAAATGTATAATACATGACTAAAATCTCATTTAGTTCCTTATGAAGCTTAAAAAACAGCTGACAAAGGCATTTTTGCTATTTTACTAAACCAAAAGTCAAAGTTAACTTTCACGTTAAATATGAATTTATCGACATTTGTGGCACAAATGCATAACATTTAAAATCAGTTAGTAATAAATATAAAATATAAAAGAAAAAACTAAAATTATATTTGTTGAAGTCTTTAAATATTTAATGTCTAAAAGAAATAAAATTAAATATTTAATTTAAAAAAAATATATATTTTTTTTAAGCAATTTAGTACTCAGTTTATTTTTATTTTTTTTTCAAACCAATATTTATATATAATAAAAAATATTTTTAGCTATATTTTTGATAAGAAAAAGTAAAAGTAATTTTCTATTTTTATGCAGCAAAATATTTATTTTGAAATTATTATTTCAAAATTAATTTTAGTGCAATATAAAAGTATCGTAAGAATCTTACATTTTGTTATTTTAATTTATATTCAATATATTAATTAAAATATAAGCGTAAGTAAAAAATTTATATGTTTCGTTTTTTTTTTGTTAAGTTCGTGTTGCATTTTAATGACACACGTTGGCCTGAAAACCAACTGAGAACGGTTAAAGCCGAAAAGTGCGACGCGACTGCAATTAATTTACTTATAATGCAGCATTCTAAAGGCAGACGACTGCCAACAACAGCATAAGCAACAGCAACAGCAACAACAACGACAGCCGACAACTGTCTGCCAAACTGTGGCGCGGGATCTAGTGAATAAAATGGCTTGAAAAGGTGGGAGGGGACTGTGTGGGGGGTTAGGAGAGACGCCTGCTGGCGCTGTTGGTCAGCGACAAGTGACCTCATTTTTATTGGAACCTCGCGGCAAGTTGCGTGGCCACAACCAGCGATACGTGCCTGTGGTTGTTGTTGCTTGTTCTACTTTGAAATTTCACTTTTCAAATGTGAATGTGTGCGTCCGTGTTGGTGTAGAAGACATAAATATAATTAATAAACTAAATAAAAGCGAGGCAAGCATTTTTGTGCGTGCGCCATTCAAAAAAAAAAATGGTGCCATGCATTGGTTCAGCCGAAATGCACTGTCAATGCAAGTTTGTTGCCTAAGTCTTTGGTATTGAAATGCAGCCACGAAATATGTCGAAAATATTAAGGCAGAGGGCAAACGAACAGCAATCACAACAACAAACAGACGGCAATAACAACAAAAGCAACATTGAAAACTTAACCTCAAACTTCAAAGTGTCACTGTCATGGCCCTTTTTACTACTCACAGCGACTTCGGCTGCGGCTGCGGCTGCGGCTGAGACTGCGACTGCGTTGCAGCGGCAACCTCGTCGACCATCGTCGCTATATAACCTGTTGGCAATTCAGTTTATGACTTTTTGCGCCGCACACTGTGACCAAACAAACAAACTGAACCGGCTAGCGACAGTTTATGGCAAAGCAAAGCTTTCACCGTGACTGCGGCCCACTGTGCGCTGCTGCTGCGACGTCGACATCGCACGTATTGCCACGAAAAGTGGGTCAACATGAAACGAGCCAGAAATGTAGAAAAAAACTGAAGAAAAAAAATACAGCAGCAACAAAAGCAACAACAACTAAAAAGCAAATCACGCTGACGAGCTGGCTGAAGACTGGGTCTGCTTGGTGTTGTTGTTGCCGCTGCTGCTGCTGCGAAAGAAAGCATTAAAGCTGCTTGCCGTGAGAGAGTGAGATGGCAATAGATGCTGAGCAACTTGTGTTGTAAATTAATTTTTTTTTTGGGTTTGGCCTTTGGAATTTATGCGACGTTTTCTTAGCTATCCAAGAAATATATGAATTACTGCCTCAAATTGCAGTCGCCAACTTATAATAAAGATAATGTTATAATTAAAATAATAGAATTTGCTTACAAAATGTGTAAATCGAATACGATTGAAATAAAAGCAATTTAAATTCATAATTTAAAGGGCGCCACAACATTAAAGCGCCACCTATTAGTCATGATTCTCACGACCAACAGTGTTGGTTAACATATCAGTGTTATGTTTCGCACAGTGAAACCTTGAAATAATCTATCGACAAGCCACCACAACCTGTCGCCGATAGTCTTGCTGCTCTGAAATTCTTTTTTGTTTATACTTGAAAAGCATTAGTTGCTTTGTAAAATTAAAATATGTTGAATGGACAAATTACACATAGCTATGTGGGGAACACGTGCAGCGTGGTGATACCACATCCACATGTCAAAGAAAAACCAAAGTCCACGCCATCACCCGAGCAAGAGGAGGCCTGTTGTGAGAGAGGGGCTGAGGCATTGGTTGAGGCGGGGGCGACGGCGTCAGCGGACGCAACGGGTGCTACGGTACATGTGAATTTGGATCGCATAAGGAACGTCGATATCTTCATTGGCGACAACGATTTGTACTTTTATGCCGATGTCAAGTTATACAAGTGAGTCATGCGTCATGTAATTGACTCAATCACAATTATCACAATCTTCTACGCAGATTCCACAGCCGTCGTACTTTCGACTTAAGGGGCCTGAAAACTTTGTTCATCAAATATGATACGAACGAGAACTGCTACCAGCTGTATTTGCGCTGCCTTCCGCCCGTTGCCATTCCGGGTAGCGGCAATGCAGCTGGCAGCGCCGTGACGCCAAAACCAAAGACAGCGCGCAAGGAATATATAGCCGCATTTCTTAATCTACCTTCGCTTGCAGACACCTTGCAGGACAAGGAACCGTTAGTGCATGAATGGAAACTGAAGCGTATCACCGAACAGTGCCAATTACAGCTCGATGCCCACGAGCGTACCTATAAACTGACTAGCAATTTTTGCTATGGATATGCCAGTGGGTACAGCGGTTCACTCCAGACTAGCGAGGTAAGTGCTTTAGGAGCATTATAAATTAGTTGCTTAACGTGATCATCAATCATGGCATTCCAGCTGGACAAGTCGACATGCCGTGTTCCAGAGCCAGAGCGACTAAGTCCTTTGCAACGACGTCTGGAACGCGTTAGCGATGAAATAAAACGCTTTTCGCGTGACCAGTACAAAATGAACTTTGTGGAGTTGCAGGTTCCAGCTGGACATCAAAATCCACTGCGCTTCAAGCCCAAAATCTTTGAAACGTCCATGACACAGGAACAGGCGCACTTGCTGCATAATCTTTGTAGCCGAACAGCCTCGATGAAAGACTCTACATCAATGGTGTCGACTGATGATAGTACATCAACGGCCTCATCCCAGTCCATCAGCCAACCTGAACGCCGTGTGCAGAACGAAATTGACTGTGGTCTTATCAGCATTGTGTTGGCCATATGCTATGATGTGCGCACTACCAACAACGAACCGACCTGTGAATCAGGCTGGACGCGTAGCATATTGTGTCCGTTGTTTTGCTACTTCGAGCAATTTGACAACTATCGAGACGTTTTAATAGCGTTTCTGCGCCGTGTGATCACCTATCCGTTGTATCGCAACTTCGAACTGGGTCGCCAGTGCGTTAGGGATGCCATTGAAGTACTGAAGGGTGGTCGCAACTGGCTGATAAATCAGCTTCTGCTCACCCACCAGCAATTCGCCAGTGGCGAACCATGTCGCGATAGTTTCAACAACTATTATCTGGAGGACTATATACGGTATATAAGCAATGCGACAGTGTGCAGCGATGAGCATTTGCGTCTGTTGGCGCGGAATGTTAAGAATGTGCTAATGGATGTTACCAAACGGCAACTGGATCTAGGTGTTATTGAAATCGAGACTGAGTTGATCCAGGAGCTAATGCAAGAAATGCGTATCGATGCTGGTAGTGGCAGCGAGTCGCCGTCACAGCAGCAGAGCCACCATGGTGATGATGAAATGGATATGGATGACACATCTGGGCAAGAGGATGAGACAACGACCGACGATGATAGCGTTATAACCGATTCATTCGACAGCATGGACTTGCGTTTGATTGAGAACGATGTCTATGCCGTCGACGAGGAGAACGAAGATGTCGATGATGGAGATGAGGATCAATCAGAGGTTGACGATGACGACCACGAAAGCAACTCATCAACAACCACTACCAGCGATGCTGAGGGCAATAGCGTCATCGAGCAATGCACCAGCAACAGCGAGGCTGCCGCCAGCATCAGTGCCAGTGCCAGTGTCAGTGCCAGCACCAGCACCAAGTAGACATTGCCAACGGTTCATGTTGTCAGTCCTGCCATGCCTAAACCAATTTACCAACCAACCAACAAACCAACTTAATGTCAAAGAACGGAGGCTAAACAGTGATTACTTTTATGCAAACCGAAATGTGAAAGTAAAATTAAAAAAAAAAACGAAAACAAAAATCAAAAAGAAAAACAAAAAGGCAAACTGTAAATTTTAACACAAACGAAAAAGCTATTTAAATATTTATATGTACGACAATTTTAAAGCAAAACACAAAGAATGGTTCATGTCACATGCAAACAAATATTTGCATATACATACACATATATATATATATATATATATATATATATATATATAAATTTTTTTTCTCTTTTTGCTCTACCATAGTTTTTTCTTAAACATAAATCAAGAAACTTAGCATTTAGCGTGACATAAACTTACGAAATTTGAATTTTGAATTCTTCAAACCAAAATCTAGTTGTGCATTTTGTATATACATACATACATACATAAAAATATAAATATATATATATATATTTATATATATATATATATATTCATTCAATTAAGTATATATGTTGTTGGTGCTGCAAGCATATTGAAATAAAATATCGAAACAAAAACTTAAGAGGCAAAGTCATCTAAAAGTTCCCAGTTAATGTTGTATAAATGTCACAAGAGTCATGGCCAAACAAATGTAATAATATTAATAATAATATATATATATTTTTCTTAATATTTTATCTAGCATTTTCAATGTCAGACCAACCGAAATGAAGTTTGGCATAAAAAAAATAATAATTTAATGAAAATGTGATTTTTAAAACTTAATGGAAAATGGAAAACGGAAATTCTGCAAATATTTTGCAAGTTTTAATTTCTTTAACTGCAACAATAAAGAATTTTAAAAATACAAGTCAAACAGATTGTTATAGGATATTTTTTAAAGTAATTGACTCACGGGATTGGAAAATATGTAAAGTAAAGCTGTAGACTACTCATAAGCTATAAGCTACTACATAAGCTATATCAATTTATTATTGACGAGAAAAGCCCATTTTACTCTGCCCATCTGTCATTATGGTTCTCAAATGCAGATCTTAATTTTTTGCACTTTAACAAACCTTTGTTTATTTCGAATCATCCATAAGCTTTTTTCTGTTCTCTAAAGATCGATTTAAATCGATATCTTTAACTTGAACTTATTGTATAATAAACATAGTTCCTCTATATAATATTTATATAGCTGTATGTAATAGAAATAACTGAGCGATTCAAGGCTACTTCAAGTCTGGCAGTCTCGACTAGAGACTTATTTTAATAGATTTGTACTATTGCATTAAATGATACTATATAATACTTACATGATGATAGGTTTCTGGTAATCAGAGCTCCAAGATTGATAAGAAAAATCTTGAGCTGTCGAATTTGCATGGAAATAGACAGGGATTGCAGACGTCTTATTCTATCCACGCTAAACATTGGTAACAAAACTAAAATACCCTCTACTCCAACCAAAGTACTCTTCAGCAAAAGTTGAGGTCATGAAATGAAAAAGCTTTGCAAGTATTTTGTAATATTTTATTTATTCATAAGTTCGCATATCTCTGTACGTTTACAAGCTAATATTTAAATATTTATGGACTGTTACTTGAAGAACTGCTGGTGTTCGTTCTTAAATTACGGTATATGTACGTATGTAAAGCTAAAATTTACAAGTTAAACTAACTAGGCATTTAGAAATCGCTAGAAGAATTTGCGTAAACATAAACATTTCACACGCCCCAGGCGAGGCCGATTGGTTTCTTGGACTTGGTCAGTTTTCAGATTTCATTATTCACTTTTAATTTTTCAGTTTTCAGTTTTTCTCTTCTATTTCTCTATATACACAAGTTACAATTGTTTAACAACAAAAAATGTTTAGTTCATTTATAAGGGCTCTTAAACACTACATACAACATGGCGGCCATTTTAGTGAGTGGACATCCCTTGAATCCTGCGCCGGGTAATGGAAATTCATATTAATTTCATCATTAACTTTTCTTTTCTTTTTTTACTGACACTGAGTTTTGAGTTTTTGAAGTATTTACAAGAACATTGCTCTAAGCTAGTTTTGGGTGCATTGAGTATTGCCTCTCTCATCTGAACGACCCGTTACAGATCTGCAAGTGGATAAGAGTTAATAATGTAGCAACAAATGGAGAGATTATTGTCACTTACTCATTGTCTCCTGCTGTATCTCTACTTTATACGAGGGATTGTCGTAGGCTGCATCGCTCTTGCGCGGCGGTGTTATCGATGCCGTTTGATGCACTCGTCTCCTGGTTATGATCAGCAGCAGTGCGAGCGTCGACATTATCGCCAAAGCGGCAATCACAGAGACAACGACAAGTGGGCCGTAATAGTCGCCAACTGGTTGATCAGAGACGCCTGCAGTAAGCAATTTGCCTATGTCAAAAAGAATGAGATTGAAATCGATAAATATATATAATAATGAGTAAACTTTTGATGGTTTCTAAGCTTCATTTTGTATTATATACATTTCCAATCATAGACTAAAAGGAATCGTGTTCTATCAATTACAAGCTAAATTGGTCAACGTCAACATAATTATATTGATCAGTTTCGAATAAATCAGAGAACGATTTATTCAAGCATTACCAAGATTCTTAAAACTTAAATAGATCCTTTCAAGAATACGCAAGACTTGAAATTAAAGAAGCTCATCTTAATTAAATTTACTTAATATATCGACTCGATTTACCTGTTTTGCCTGGCGTCGCTGGACCACCTGGCTTGGTAATGAAGTTGACCACGTTGCTCTTCTTGGTGTTGCCGTTGGTGAGGTACATTTCCAGCCAGAGGCGATATTTGGTGCCTGGCTTAAGGTCCATAATCAGAGTGCCTGTTGTGCTGTCCCGCTTGGCAACCTTGAACACGCTTGAATCCTCTTTGCCAGCATCGCTCTGATAGATGGCGCGATAGATGTGCACGAATTTGTCTTCTGGGTAGGGCACACCATTCCAGGAGATTTCCACACTCTGCGACTTCACCTTGGTGACATTGACCATAACATCGAATCCATAGACATCCGTTTTGGGTGCTGTGCGCACCTTGATCATGTGTCCGGCCAGTAGCTCGGCTCCATGGCCGGCAAATGGAATATAATAGAGACCGATTTCGTAGCCTGTATCAGGCTGCAGATTCTGTATGGTGTAACCGGTGAGCGTACGATGTATCAAAGGCGAGGAGGAATAGATCATGCCCGTAAGCTCCTTGTAGCGCAGCTGTACTCCATCCACATACTCCATTTGATCGTCGCCCAGCTTCTTCCAGGTCAGCTGTAGCCACGTGGCGTTCGTTTCGCTGACATTCAGCTCGGGATCCTCCACGGTCTTGAAGATGTCCTGGAAGTCTGGTCTGTAGTCAGAAATCTGGGGCGGCGGCGTTATCGTCCGCTCAGCTGGCATCTTAACCGTGAAGACTCGGCTCGTAGGCTGCGAGTTAAGATCGCGCAGAATCAGCGTTATCTTCACCTTGTACAACGAATTTGGCTCCAGGCCGGGCAAATCGAACTCCATTTGCGAGGTGGCAATTAGATCTTCGGGCGGTGCAAATATCTGTTGCTCCCAGCTAGACGTATCATTGCTCGCGCCATTGGTATATCGCAGCTCAACACGTCCATGAAGATTCACATAAACCTGTGGCACAGTGAACACAATGCGAATGGTACGTGGATCAATGGCCTCCAGAGTGTGCACTTCGATGTCTGGCTGTAGATTGTTGAAGCCTAGAAAAGTATAAGAACATTGAATATTTTGATTTATGCTCTGCGAATAGGTTTGAGCACTACTACATATTCCTAGCTCCAATTCCAAACCAAATCGAAAATGTTTCATTTTATTTATGTATAAATTTTACTTCTAATTGGAATTGGTACTTAGAATAGCTTTCTATCGATTCTCGCTCACTTCAAATTAGAAATTGGGATTAGTTTAGGTTAAAACGTTATCTAAGAAGCTCAACAATGATGTGGATGACTGGTAATGAGTATATATGTGTGTGTATGTGTGTGAATGTATATATGTGAAAGTTGAAGTAGTCTCAGTTAGTACAGTAAAACCTTGTCATTGTGTATATCGGTATAGCAGTGTCCATACGGCATGAAGAGAGACTAGAATAAGCTAAGTAGGATGTGACTAGAATATAGTAGAATCTCAACCTGCTTGCTGGGTGGGCAGTTTGTCCGTTTGGCCCTGGCTCTGGCTCTGACTTTCACTCTGGTTCGGACTGTGATGCAGGCTGTGCTCGCTGGCCTGCGTGGATAGACCAGAGCTGGTGCTAGAGCTGGGCGCAATGCTAGGCAATTGCTGCAATGATTCATGTTGTTGTTTTTGCTGTTTTTGTTGTTGATGTTGCTGTTGATTGTGTTGCTGATGCTGCTGCTGCTGGGGATGTTGCAAAGGTGGTGGGACGCCCAGACCAGGTATCAATGGATAGCTCTCATATGCCACGGGCTGACCATCTACTATGGCAATGCCGTGTGGAGGCGGTGGCGGTGGCACTCCACTGTGCACTATGGGCACATAATGAGGAGGCAATGGCCGTTGTTGTTGTTGTTGCTGTTGGGGTGATGCTCCTGGTCCGCCTGGCACGCTTTGCTGCAAGTGCTGCAATATTTGCTCGATTCTCACATGTGAGGGCAGATTGTGGTTGTCCTTCTGGGGCAATGACTGTGCCGGATGTCCAGACTGTTCAGCGCCTAGAATATTGAACAGATCCGATTGACTGGTCGGCACCGGCGGGGGCTTGCCCTGTGGTATGCCATTCGGATTAATGTCATATGGCTCATAGGGATTGTATGCATCATAGGCGGGCTTTGCCGGGTTGTAGAAGCCATAGGGTCCAAGCTGTTGCTGATGTTGTTGCTGCTGTTGATAGTCATTGTAGTGGCCGCCCAGCTGCAGTGGCACAAAGCCGCCTCCCGGTGGCAACGGTGCTCCATTGTTCACAACGTCCTCCTGCTGATCCTCATGCACATCGTACTTAATGTCATTTTGTTGCTGCTGCTGGTGTGGCTGGACCTTCTTGTGGTGTTTGTCATGCTTGTCAAAGATGCCTGCGCTCGCCTTTGGCGGCTTGCCATCCAGTGTGGGATAGAAGGCGGCGGCTAGCTGTGATTTCTTCTCGTAATCAACATCCGTTGGCTTCTCATGCAACACTTTGTTAGTTGTTGTTGCTGCTGTTGCTGTTGTCGTTGTTGTCGTTGTCGATGTTGTTGTTGTTTCTGATATTGGTTGCATGTTGAATGGTATTTTGATTATTTACAAATGCATAGCGTTATTTTTCGTATGAGCATAGAAAATAAATATATATATATATATATAGTAAAAAGCACGCCATAAAAAAATCAAAAACAAAAACAGCAGAAAAGAGAAAAAAGAGAGCAAGTTAAATAGCAAAAGCAGTAGAAATTCATAGTGGTAAAAAATATGCTTTGAAATCGTGCGAGAAAGATGAGCGATATAAATGAATATGCTTTAAGATGTTTGATAACGGGTTCTTCAATTATTCTCAAATTGCTTTCAATTAACATGATTATTTAGTTTACACCGCAGCATAAATTATGTTGTTCATAGATTTCATGATGTTGTGTAAACGCGGCTTCAGACCCCTCGACAAATTTCAATTAGAATTTTGCATGCAATAAACGAAATGAAATTGTTTCATGCATTCCCTAACCATATTTACCAGTTGGCATTGAGGTTTGGGTTGCCGGCTGTTTCTGTTGATCTTGTTGTGTCTCCTCCTCCTGTTCCTGCTGCCCAGCTGCGCCTATCTTGGGTGACAGCGGTGCGCAGGCCCAGTGCTTGCAGCACTCATCATCGGGAATGGGCAGCAGACGCGCCTGCGCCGGATGGCAAGGCAAGTCTGCAGGTGGCAGTGCCAGAACTGGCGGACAAGCTGGACGGCACTCCACCTTGCCGTTCTCGCAGTAGCAATGTTTCTCGCAACCTTCAGGAAAAAGCGTGTGAGGAGGACAGAATGCATGACTGATTGTTGTCGAATGAATATGTGTGGATTACTACTTACCCGTCAGGTTGGCCGGAATGGGTGCCCAGTTCTCAAACTCCATGCCTTGGAATGTGCAGGTGCCGTTGTCCACACAGCGCATGCTCTCTGGACAGCAGTGTGGTGCTACGGGCTTGAAGTCTGCCGGCACCGGCTCCCAGCGTATGCAAAGTGGATTGAGCACGTCCAGGCCGAAGGTGGAGGGACACTCTACCTTGGCACAGTGCACGCCCTGCTCATTGCAGATGCACAGCTGCTCGCAACCGTCGCGGAACTGCTGTCCCAGATCATACTGTACGCCTTTGAAGCTGCAAGTGGGCGTGGCGCCGCCAGCATCACGTGCCTGCTCCTCCAAGTTAAAGCTACGCTCCTGCTCGTGCTCATCTCCAATGCTGTTCTGACCGCCATGCAGCGTGGGTAGCAGCGGCTGCTGTTGCTCGTGATCATCCAGCGTAACATCGCAGAGCTCCAGCTGACAACAGACGTCCTTGGGATCCTTGACATAGACACACTTGTCGGCGCGCGTATGATTGCGTTCCGGACAGCGCGGACGGCAATTCATGATGCCTCCTTCGTCGCAGTGGCAGATCTGCTCGCAGCCAATCTCCAGGCGCTCACGGAACTTGTAAATTCCGCCTTCATAATGGCAGTCGTTGCGTGGCTTGGGCGTGCCTTCTATTTATATGTGTGTATGGAGGTATTTATAATGTGTGTGTGTGTATGTGTGTGTATGGCATGACGTTTATGGAAAGCACAAAAAACACGGCGTTAAAGCATGGACCATAGGCTGTCAAGCAACAACTATTAAGCCATAGCAAAAGCTTTCTCTGCATCTGCTGGCTCAAATCGGAACTGGACTCACCTTCATTCTGCTCAGCGGCAGCAACAGCTGGCATGCCAGCCAAGTCGGCTGTGGCTACGCTGGGCTCTAGCAATGGCTCGACGCACTCCATAACCCTACAGCATTCATCCTCCTCCACAATACGCTCTTGGCAATGCGGATTCGCCATGGTGCGTTGGCTGCCGCGCGGATAGCTGCTACCCTTGCAACGCGGCTCACAAATCCACTCGCCGCGGTTGCAGGTGCAGCGCTCATCGCAGTCCCGTTCCATGCTTTCGCCATGCTAAAGAGCGTAAACAGAAATTACAAATTAGGAAGTCGACTTGAAATTGATGAAGAAGATATTCTGTGTAAGTCTTAGAAATTTGTTTATATTTTCATTATAATTATGTTAAGTGTAAAAATCAACTTTTAATGTTCTATAATTAGAGCAAAGAACATGAGAATTAGATGGATATATAAACGAAATGATGAACTATAAGAGTTGTAACAAGGAATAGCCCTCTTGTTAATCTTAATCAAATAATTATCAAATACTTTGATGATGACAAAAAATTGACTGAGTAATCTTTCATATGATGGATTGACTCTGCAGGTGGAGGAAACAGTTGGCAATGATGTCATCCAAGGTAAAATAATATACACTTACAAAGCTAATAGTCAGGAGTTGGGAAACAGAAATTTATAGCATCTCAAGTGCACAAAAATATATAATAAAATTATATTTATTTTTAAATATTTCAAAGCGAGACACAGATTAAGCCAAAATGTAATTAAAAATTTGTTTTCAATCTGAATTATTAACCCCAATTTTATACGTGAATATTTCTTATTCTCAAAATATGTTTACAAATGATGCCGACAAACGAGTTCCATTTGCTCAGCGGCATTCGAGTTATTCGAGTTATAATGTTGCAGCTTTCGCTTCTTAAAAAATCTCACCAGCAATAAGTAGCTAGTTATTTTTAGTGACTGCCTTAGAACTGTGACCCAATTGGCAGCTAATGACAATAGATTCAGTGCTCCAGCTTAGCGAATTTTATCGTGAAAGGCGGTTGAAGCTATTTGCGCACAAATTGCGTCAATTCGCGTAGCTAACTGTGCGGGGTGTTCATCAATCATTTGTTCGTTTGCTCATTTGTTCATTTGTCGACTGCTCAACTGGTTGGGCACTGAAAGAAAATTGGTAAACATTTCCTGCTTGCCTTTGGAGTCTGAGTGCACCAATAAGCAGATATGTCAAAGCGCGGCTCAGACTAGCTTATGGCGCGACCCACACGCGATAGCTAGACAAAGATTGAAATCGAGTTTGTTGTCGGAGTCTTTTGTTTAGCACCGAGTGCTTTGCAGTCTTTTGTGCTCGCTTAATTAAAAAGTTATGTGGGCTGTGCGCTCTCAGAACTTTTTATATGCCTCTGAAATGAATACGTTTCCTTTTATGTGTGGCTCTGTGTGGATGTGTGACTTTTCGCCCCTTACGCACATCTTAACGCTTTTACGCTTCGACAAAAAAAACACATTAGGTTTTCTTGAGAACTTTTTATCTAGCCTAGCTATGATATGGAAGCAAAGGCCAAGCTCACGTTGGCTTACTAAACTATATACCCGACCAGCCCATTAACTGTGTTCAATTCGCCAAGCCATTTGGCTGCTCACTTTAAAAAGTATTTGGGGCATGCTGCTAGCAGTCGCGTTGGCATGTTGCACGTGGCCGCTGCCGATCGATCGCAATTTATATAAAAAAAAAATAAAAAAATAACAGAGCAATAACGGACAATTTATTAAAAGTGAAAGCAAAATTATTTCATATCGAAACGTGCCGTAAACCCGATTATGAAAATTCCAGCGCAAGAAAAAAAAAAACAATTATAAATATTAAAAAAAAATAATAACTAAATTGAATTAACAGCAAAAATACTCTGAAATTCAAGAGGCAACGACAGAAGTGAATCAAAAATTTGCAGAAAATTTCAACTTAATTATTGTATAATCAGCAATTTGCCCTGCACCCAGCGCTCGAGTAGTACAGTATATCTGCATTAATTAGCTTGCTGTTTTCTTGTAATTATGTGCTTACAAAGATCATAACGGATGCGAAAGACTCGAAGCGAGCTGTTAATAGAGTATTGAACGAAAGCCCGAGCGAGCGTTTAATTAAAACAAAATCAACAACAGGCCAGCCGCACAAACCAAGAGCTTTCGACAGCAACAGCAACAGCAGCAGAATGGGTTGGTCAGTAGTGCAAGATGGAGGCGTGGCAGCTGCTGCTACAGCTCCGTCCGCAATCCGTTGGCGCTTAATGCCTGCGGCTTGGGTGCAATGTTTGATGAACACGTCACACTTGGGCAGACAGAGCAGCCATGTAGCAATTTATGTATACTATTAGATGCTGGCGTTAATTAGATTATAGATGAACAGACAACAGCAAACGATTCTAACAATGCCACATTATGACGTTGATTGCCCAGACTAAGGCTGGGTCTGATAATGAGTCTGAAACAACAACAACAACAACAACAACGCCGACAACGACGACGACGACATCAATCACAGGCCAGCAATTTGCTGGCATTTTTCGATTTAAAGGCGCGCAAATATTTGCATAATTGCTGCTTGCCCAAGCAAGAAAACCGCGAAAGCAGCCAGCAAGGGAAATGTGCACCAAAAATATATTTGGAGTGCACACAGCAACAGCAACAGACACTGCAGCAGCAGCTGCGACAAACTCTTTGTTGGCTGAGACTGCCTGTTGACCGGTTTTTATGAGTGGCCCAAACTTGTTGAGCATTATGCAATCAAGTGACGACAAGGCAAATTGGAGTTGCGTGCCAGGAAGTTGAAAAGATTGCCAGGCCAAAATGGAGGCGGCTATACATAAATGTATACGCATTTGCTGGCTGTCTAGAAATATAAGCAGCGTACCACAGGGGTGCCCAGATAGGTGTAAAACACTTTACAGCTGCCGAGATAATTGCTGGCTACAAAGATTTCTCAATTTGCTTAGCTCAAGACATTTAAGTTGCTTGATGAGTTTTACCTTAACTTTTTAGATCAGTTTTTGTCTAATGTTAACTAAGCTCAAAGATCTGTTAAAGAGCTGCTCAACAACAATTTCAGCCTTGATCAGGTCAGCAAGCTAAGATTAGATTATTTCAATATATATACTTTCACATATCAATATCTGCTCCCATCTTCAATATACTCATATCTATAATATATATTTTGAATTTACCTTATAGCTGACATTGCTGGCCATACATTCACGTTGCATGGTATCTCCGCTGGCTGTGATCTCCACAATTTTCGGCACTTCCGTTTCGGGTTGAGCTGTTGTAGAGGTTGTTGTTGTCGTTGTAGTTGTAATTAGCTCTGTGCGTTCGTCGTCCATACTGACGTCGCTGAGATCCAGAAAAGCCTGATGCATGGTGGCATTGTGACGGAACAGTAGCTCAACATCCTCGCCGCCACCTGCCGAGCGACCCTCGCCGGCGAATGCAACAAATGGTGTATCAGTTGTAGTTGTTGTTGTTGTTGTGGTTGGTGTTGTAGTGCTGCTGCTGCTGCTACTGTCGCTGCTGCTTGTTTCGTCCTCGGTTGGGTGCTGCACTCCAAGCACATGCTGTCCTTCAACAATGTTAATCACTGGAGCCGCATCCACTTCGAACCGCGGAATGAGTGTGGTGGCCTCTGCCTCTGCCTCTGCCGCTGTCTCCGCTTCGACTGGCATCTCAGTCGGTTGCTGACTCTCGGGCTCATTCATATTCATGGCGCGTGCTCGGGATGTGGATGTTGTCTCAGTTGATGGCTGCGCCGTTGCCTTGTTCTCCATACTGACAATAATGCCAACGGTCGACTCGGTTGTCGTTGTCGTTGTCGTTGTTGTTGTTGTTGCTGTGGTTGGTGTTGCCGCTGCTGCTGCAGTTGTTGTCGCTGGCTCGCCCTCCTCGGTGCTGCTCGACAGCATTTGATAATCTTCGTGCTCGGCCAGGCGATCATGATTCTCGGACAGTATATGCACATGATAGGGATCTTCGGACTCACTTGTTGTTGTCGTTGTTGGGGCGGCAGTTGTTGTTGTTGACGTTGTCGATGTCGTGGTTGTTGTTGTGAGTGCGGACTTGTCGCTGTCACTTTCATTCTCACTGATACCGGACACGTTCTCCTCGCTGTTGCTGGCCGTTATAAGTGTTGCCGGATGCCGAAAATTATTCAAATCCTTGGCATCACCATCGTTCTCATTGGAGATTTGGTTAAGCAACAGCTCATTCTGCTGTTCCTGCTGCTGTTGCTCCGTGGTGGCATCGCCGCCCACGCTCTCAGCATGCTCATCTTTTAGAGGAATATGCTGAATGTGCGTCTGCTCCAGCTCCGACTGATGTACGATCTCAACACGCGGAGTTGTTGTTGGCTCCGTGGAGGTAATGGGCTCGATGCTCGTCGAGCGCACAGTGGTTTCTTCTTGGGCCACGCTGCTGTTACTACTAAAGGTGCTACTAATTTCAACCACAGGTAATATTGTCGTCATCTCTGCAATCAAACAAGACAAACACATTATTAATAAATTGCTTTTATATTAGCAATATATATATATAAATAAATATTTAGAATTTATAAAGGTATATTCCAAGCTGAAGTTCCGAATCATAAATCCAATTTATTCTTGATTTTCCCTCATTTTTGGTGTATAAATACATAATTTATAAGAATTTATCTCCTATACATCTTTGTGGCATTTCATTTATTTATGTAATACAATTATTCTTATGCCTGAAGCATAAAAATTTTAATTACATTTTCAATAAAACATGAGTATATCAAAATTTGTTAAGCAAATTTGGAATATAAGGGTATTAACCTTCTATATTTGCAATACTTGATATCGGCTCTGTAGTTGAGAAATATCTGGAAAACTGTACGTTTAAATAATGCTGAACAAAGAGAACTGGCAAGCGAGAGTATAATATAATGTAGAAGGGACAAGATCTGTTTTTTTGGGCAGCTGAACAATAGACATCCGGATTCGAGTCTAAAATTATTGCTTAAAGCTTGAGTTTTTAACTGAAATCCAAGAGCCTGTGGTGTTCAGCAATAAAAGCTATCATATCGTATTGATGAAGAGCAATAAAAAGATAAAAATTTCCCAATATCAACTTTGATCAGGTGCATATCCCATGTATGAGAAATCTGTTTATATTCTTACAAGTATAAAAAACCATATAAATAATATATATATATAATATTTTTTTATATAAAATTTATTGAATCTCGCTCAAGCCATATTTACTATCGCTTAGCGATACTAATTTCACACATAAATATTAATGAATTTCAGTTCAATTAGCACCGCCGAGAGCTATCGCCAATTTCTGACTTCCATTGACAGTTAGGACTGGCATTGAGCCGTTCCAGGGGTAAATAAACTTTAAGCTGCCTATTTATTTGCTAAGCTGGCCCACATTTACGGTACCGACAAGAATTTCTGCGCAAGGCTAGCGGAAACCGAGCTAGAAAAGAAGAAAAAAAACTTTAAAAAAACAGCTTACATTACTCGTATTGGTAATATCTCACGCGTCACGTCGTTGGCAGCATCAATTGGCAACGCCATCATTGAAATCAACTCGTAATATCTGTTTTGCTGTACACCAAACGAAGACACAGCATCAGTTCTACAGAATCGGCAAGGTATTCATTAAGCTGCGATTGCGTCTGTGCCAGCTGAATCATCAGGCCCTGGCCCGCCGTTCTCGGAAGGCAAACCCTGCGATGCCAAAATATCAGCCAGCCGCATCTTTTCTGATATTTTTTCCCATTTTTTTTCTTTTTGTGTTGTCTTTGGTTCTATAGAGATTTTTTCGAGCTTTGCTTTAACGCGCTTAACCTGAGACTGTGAGTTGGGCAAGTTGTTATTCTGCAGATTCTCTTTTGTTGCTGTTGCTGTTGTTATTATGTTTCTCAGCTTTGGTCTGTTCTCTGTTCCTTCGTTGTTATATAATTACATTTATTTTCGGGCATAGTTTCGGGGCGCAAAGCTCATGTCATAAATAAATGATGACTTTAGTGGAACCACTTCAGCTTGTATTAAGCAACAGAACCACCAAAAGCCACACACTTGACTCTGTCTTGGCACAGTGGTTCGAAACATTATCAAAATTAAGTTGAAAAAAGCTAAGCCAAATTGAATTAACTGTTAATTCGGTAATTGTTACTTTGTTTAAAAGATAAATGGCATCAAGATTAACATTAAGTTAAATGTTTTTGAGCCCAATCAACAGATTCGCACGCCAGAAGATTTATGTTTCTCACTATTAGTTTATGTTTGACGCTTAATTTCTTTTTAAATATTTAAACCAAGTTTTTCTTTTATAAAATATCTTAAATCAACATCAAAATATGTGAAAATCAGCTAAGATATCATCTGCGCACTTCTAGGATATTTAATCTGTGGCATGTTAAAGTACTTAGCACAAATTTAATGATTGAGCCGAAGTTAATCTCTATTTGGAGCTCATCTGTGCAGCTGTTAGATTTCGTTTATCTTAATACTCGGACATGGCTCTCTCGCTCAACTTGAACAGCTTGGAATGTAATTTTCTTTTAATTTACACACTCTTTCGTGTACTTGGAACCTTAAGCTGCAACTACTCAGGTTACGAAGCAGCAATAAATGGCCATTACTTTATGGATCCTTGGTACCTCCGCTGACTCATGGCAAAGCAAAGAAGAAATAAAAGTACCAGCAAGTCAACTTGACGAGCGCTGCAAATGTGGCCCCATGGGGGCGATTCAAGAGCCAGTGACGCAGGCTTAGACGGAGACGGAGACGGAGACGGAGACGGAGACGGAGACGGAGACGGAGACGGAGACGGAGACGGAGACGGCGACGGAGAACTATGCGTTCGAGTGTGCCTATAGGCACAGTGGCTGTCATGCATGCGTGGTAATAAGCATAAAGGCAGCAGGCAACAGGCGGCTGTTCTTGCAGTGAGGCACAGTTGTCGTCGCTCCAATAAGAAAAGGTGCCTTTGGCTCAGGCCAAGCCGCATGCAACGGACGCCAATTTAGCGCTAAAAAATAGAAGAGCTGCAGTTCGTTAGCCCAGACATAGGCCCAGGTCCCAGGGGCCAGCCCCTGCCCCAGCCCTAACCCTAGCCCAAGCATTAGTTCATGCTGTAGCCAGCTCATAAATGCTCTCGTCTCTTTTAACTGTGCATGTATGTCTATCTGTATCTGTGTGTGTGTGTGTGTCTGGGTGTGTATGTATGTGTTTTATGTTTTGGCTGCAGACGTTGCTTTTATTGTTGCTCTTACTGAGAGTTGAGGGGCCAGAACTTGAGATAGGGTTACTGACTTGAACCTTGAATTTCAGTTCGTTATGCTGAAAGCAGCTTTTACTGCTGCTATTGTAGTTGTTGTCGTTGTTATTGTTGTTGTTGTCACGGTTAGCCGTTTATAATACTCGAAGTTGCAGTTGTTGCCGTTCTTTGAGCTCCTTTGTTTTGTCCACTTCCACTTGGTGCGCAATTTGTCTTTTACTGTCATTGATTTTCATTTTTCACTGGCACTCGTTAAGCGCTTTCAACTGCCTTCAAACTCTTTTTGTCTATATGTTTATACACCTACATATATAAATATATATATATTTATATACATAGTACGTACAAGTTCATCTACATATGTATATTGGCAGATCGGTAAGGTTCATTGCTGCGCTTTTGGTGGTCTCTAGGTCTATGTTCTGCAAGCTGGTTTCATTTCAATTGGGCTGCATATAAAAGACTCAGGCAACGAACTTGGCTTGTTTGTTAACCATGTCAAATGGACTTTTGGTCTCAGCCTTGTTTATGATTTGCACAGTTAAGCTAAGCAGCCGGCTTGATTATGATATATGACAATGGCTTCTATCCGCATGCCTCGTGTTTTCTTTTAAACGCCCACAAAAAGTATGGAGCCACAACAACGGCAACAAAAACTCACAACTTCAGTAATACCACTTATGCAGAAATGCAAAACGTTGTCGGTAGTCAAAACTCATTTGCGGTTTTTTCAAGTCGCCGCACGTTTTGCGGCTCTGAACAAACAGACAGCAATGCAATGAGTTGTCAGAGGTCTTATAAGAGGTCTACAAATGATGTGCTTAGAATTGACAAGCTGTCACTATGAGCTGCATACATGCTAACCGGATGTCTTTCTTGCCAGCAGCTCAGAAAACTAAATAGATTTACGGTAGCTAACCATTAAACGGAACTGCTCATAAAAGATCTTTTTCTAAGATCTCATACAATAATCGTGAGCTCCAATCTATGACTGAGCATTTTTAATAGAGTTTTTCTTTTTTAGAACTTAGCACGATTTTGAAACGAACTTTAAGATTTGTAAAAAAAAAACAGATAATAGAAAATTTGTGTGAGCAATTTTAATGAAACACATCTACACATATATAAGGTATATATGAAACACATATATAAGGTAACATGCATTTCTAGAGATTATATCATAAAGGTCAGCGGGTACTTGGAAAAGCGAGAAAATCTTTACGCTCGACAGTTGCAGAGCTAGATTTGAATGAAGATTGATGAGCATCTCCAATTATTGATCTGAAAACATTTTAGTCACGCTCATGAAAACCTTGTCAAATCGTAGAAATTCATATATTTTACAAGTTTTGTGTAGACCTCAAATGAACTCCACCACAGAAGGCATATGATATAGCCATGAAATATATTATATAAATCCTTTGATACAGCAAACCCCGTAATATTCAAAATCAATATATAACAAGCATAAAAGCACCATATGTAACTACATAACGAAAGTGGATACTCCAAATGACTCCTCACACATGGGCGGTATTCGAGTGTCTGTTTTGGCGGTAAATAATGTTAAAAGCAACCAACCGGAAGCACGTCACATACGGCCCACTCGGTATTCATAACGAGCACTGCATAATGACCATTAACAACGGGCCATGCTTCGTGGTGCTTCGAAGTGGGGCTGTCCGTTGGTCAAGCTTTTTAAGCGCCCAAAAGTTGTCAACAATATATATATATGTGCTTAGATTTTGAGCAATGTAACGGTCATGCGTCTGCTTCCATATGTGTGTGTCTGTCTATTTGTCACGTATCCACAAAGCTGAACTGAATCAAAACAAAATTATTTGATTTGCCTACTTGTGAGCGGCTTTGGCTTCAAATGTGGTTTAGCTGCCATCTGATCCGGTTTAAGTTTGATTTGGACAAAACTCAGTTTTTTTTTGTTTCTGAAACTATTAACAAATAGCGAATGGATATTGCGTAATTAGCGACGCCTCGCTTGCATTTGGAAAGCTGACTAGAGTTGGGGCGAAATACTAATAAATCTAGTATACATATACATATGTTGTATGTACGTATGAATGAATGGCCATATTTCGTAGTGGTGTTAATGGAGATTAATAATTAAAGCCAGATTTTTGGTTGTTTTTGTTGGCTTTGAAAATTTGATTGTTGTTTTTTTAATTTAAAAGTCTTTGTCTCTGTTCGGCCGAGGAT